TCGGCTCCTGCCAACGCGACGCCATCTCCGGCGCCGCAGAGTGCCGCACCCGCCGCTGCCAACTACTCGGCAACGTTTACCACGCCGGCTCCCGTGTACCACGTCGCGCACGTCGCTTCCGGGCCGTCTGGCCCCTCATACTCTCCACCGGTTTTCTCCGAACCGACCCCCGATCCGCGCAAGCGGTCCCACCAACCCGCGACGGCCTATCAAGGCCGCAGCAGCGCTCCGGCGCCCCCTCACGGAACCGCAGGCGCACTCAAGCGCCAGCGGGACCAGGGCATTGCGCCCACGTTCGAGGGAACGCGCGCCGAGTTGCCCGCGTTCGCGGGGGAGACGCCGCTAATTCAGCGGCTCTCCATGGGCCCCTCAGCGTCCCCGCCTCTGTCGGCTCGAATCGAGCCGGTAGAGGAGCCTTCTCGTAAGCCGTCGGTTACCCCTCCGCGCGCTTCTGACTTTGACCATTATGTGTCTGGGTTAGGTCCCCCCAAGCGCACCAAGTTCTCTGACTACAAGAAGCGTCAGAAGCTTGGTGACCGCCTCGCTGGCGGTGGTTCTTATGTCGACGACTCTGCAACCGGCCACAAGGGCTGGCTCAATGCGGAGGCGTACGCGGAGTACCAGCAACAGAAGGAGGACCTTCGCCGCTCCATGGCGCCCACTCCGGTCCAAGTCGCCGAGTACGGCTATGAGGACGACATCGAGGAGTTCGAGGGTATGTCGCTCAAGGAGCCGTCCGAACAGGGCGGAGAACGGGCGGTGTCACTCGATTGCGAGTCGGTCTGGTGCGCAACCAGTTTTCTCGATGCCGCTGACAACGTATCTGGTGCTAAACCCTTTACAGGTGAACCATATGTAGTCGGTAGTTTATCATCACATGTATCTGCAGACGTTATGAATGGACAATGTGTACATTCTAGTTCTCAGTGGTGTGACATATGCATCGATAAGGCATTGGTCGTACGCGACACCGATCGTGAGAAATCTCTTCATGACAAGTTGCATGCACGCTATCCTATTGGATGGGTGCTTGACTCAGGTGCATCTACGCACTTCACGTTCGAACTCTCGGATTTCTCCGAGTATGAGGAACTACCAGAAGAAGAGAAATTCACCGTCTCAACATCGTCCGGATCTATCCGGTGTGAGGGCTCAGGGACAGTTGTCCTTCGCCATGAAAACACGCAAGGGAAACCTTGCACGACCCGAATCTACCCCGTTTTTTACCTTCCTGGCGGAACCGTTCGTATGCTTTCGACGGGTCAATTCTGCTGCAACGGGAACATTCTGCACGGAGATGCCGACAAGTTGGTGGTGCTCACTGCCAATAAGTCAAAAGAAGTGGTGCACGCTACAGTGTGCCCTGGGGGGAACCTATTTTGGGTTCATACATCATTAGATCTGCACCAAGCTCATGTGACTGGTGTTGTCGGAATGAATCTACCCGACTTTAAGATCTGGCACGAACGTCTTGGACACTGTTCGGACGAAGTGCTTCGCTACGCTAGGAAACACGTCGTTGGAGTTCCTACGAGTCTTAGCTTACCCTCGCCGACGATTCGTCGTCCGTGCGAGGGGTGCATGCTGGGCAAAAAACACCAGCTTCCGTTCCCACCAAACGAACATCGCAGTAACGAGTTCCTTGGATTAATCCATGCCGATCTCAAAGAGTTCGCAGTCGAGTCGTGGAATAAAAAATCATACGCACTTGTCCTCATGGATGACTGCACGTCCTATGCATGGGTCATGCTCTTGAATCGGAAGAGCGAGGTCCAGCAAGCCGTAGAGACCTGGTTTAGCATGCTGCTGAATCAGTACCACAAAACGATTCGGATGTGGATGAGCGATGCAGGGGGAGAGTTCAAATCGCGAGCCTTTACCAAAAGTTTAGAATCGCGTGGCATTCGCATCCTCCAATCAACGCCGTACAACCATGAAACAAACGGCCGTGCGGAACGGATCATTCGCACCTTAGACGAAAAAGCTATGTCAATGCTGCATAACGCCAATTTGCCGCCGTTCCTATGGAACTTCGCCATCGAGCACGCATGTCACATCTACAATAGAACACCCATGA